ATTCCCCTTCCATTTATATATGTTCTAAGGTCACATGTTGAACATGTATATCTACAGATACGATGGATACGATGCTTGTATGCGTCAACAAATGGCGCGCATGCGCACTTTCGAACAGTTACTCATAAGAGAGAAGCAACTACGATTTTTTTTCTTACTTCCTTCGGACACATTTCAGCTTGCTATTCTTTTTCCATTTATATATGTTCTAAAACCCGTATCAGACTATGCATTGAGATTGAAATTTGATAGATTGCCCAATCAGGACAAGGAAATTTTAGTTCCTTTTATCTTGATTGGTCAAATTTCAATCTTCAATACGTAGTCTGATACTGGCTTAAGGTTATATCTATCATGACACATGCTGGGCTGCGTTCGAAAAAATCATCCGTGTGCACACGAGCTTTGTTCTATCTTTGTTCAACTTTTAGTAAATAACAAAGATAGAATAACGCTCATGTGCAAACAGGTGGTGTTTCCGAACGTAGCCCTAATATAGCTGTATTTCGCTGATATGACAGATTTCCTAACTATAAATATACTAAAAATTTGTTGATAAATATTTAATTTCTCATCTTAAATTTTGATAAAAATATATTCCTTTAATGTTTTTTCGTATAAAAACAAGTGTTAGAAAAATAAAAACCATTACTCGGTACTCTATCAAAAAAATAATACACCATTAAAAGCTATGCATTTAAAGAACATGATAGAAATTAGATGGAAGACATTAAATAAATCCATTTTACTAAAATCTAAGATGAGCGGGAGAAACTAAACATTTATCAACGAATTTTTGTGTATTTAAGATTGGGAAATCTGTCATATCAACGAAATAAAGCGATATCAGCATGCGTCGTGATAAACATAACCTGTGATATATACACAGAATGTTTTTAAAAATATCCTTAAGTAAAAGATTAATAAGCGATTAAAATGTTGTACATGAGATTGCAATTTTTCGAAGCGAGACGCGTTACCTATTCTCATCGCCAGTCACTTTGGGAGCGAAAGGAAAGTATTTTTTAGTGCGGGCAATAAAAATGAATTGGTTGAGAAATTTCAATTGATAATTTATACAGATTTGTTCTCACTTTTACTTATTTCTATATTTTAATTTATTAACTTATTCAAGGAGATATCTTTTTATGAAAGATACTTTTATATTTTATAGATTCTGCATTATCCTCGAATGCAATTACAAAATAGAACGAATGAAAAAAAATGAAAAGAAAAATGTAAAACGATTTGATATCGTGCTATCAATGGTTATCAAACTATTACTATCAAAATAACTAATTAGACATATCCCTGAAAACGTCTGCGGTAAGAAATTACAAATTTATTTTATAATGTTTACTTTATGATGATTTTATGATGTTAGGAAGATTGACTGATCGACTAAAAGAAAAGAGGGAAGAAAAAGAACAAACTGGTGGAAGAAAAACCAACTTCGATGAAATACGATGAAAAAGCTAAACGATAGAATATTTCAGAATAAAATTAAGATTGTTAAATGATACTTAGTGTGTTACATACAAAAATGACCATGTAGATTAGTATTATTAATTTATGTTATTCACGTTATCAACAAAACTGTTATGTACATCACTATTGTCCAAAAGTGGCAGATGGTGGCACATTTCTCTTTCACTATCATTACTCTCTCCAGATAATTGCCTATGAAGATATATCACTCTTAGATAATGCTGATATACATAAAATGCAAACGCAATATACATTGCAAATACTATTATTGCTTCAGTTTTAAACTGTTAATACTTAATTTACTTATTTTTTATGATTTAATATCGTACTTAGAAAAATATAAATGAATTTATTGTATTAATAAAATTATTAATCTGTAATATGATTTTCATTTTAATATTTCTGTTCTCATCAAATCGTATATATGCAACATGTCACTAAAGACTTATTGCACATATGTGAGTTTATTAAGTTAAAACATTAGGAGGATCAGATTAGAATTTATTAGTAAATATAGTTATATTTCTCTAATCTATACTTATTCTTATAAAAAAACTTGAGTTCAATATAAAATCATATAAAAAAGCAAACAAATTGTTAACAGTTTAATACTGAAGTAATAATGGTATTTACAAAAGATATTTTTTATTTGCTTTTTAATTAAGGTTTTGTTGAAATTGAAAAAAACATTAAGAATGATATAGTCATATTTTTATATAACACCAAGTATCACATTTAATATTCTTAACTTTATTCTGAAATATTTTGTCGCTCTACTGTTCTCCACCGAATCTAGCTTTTCTTTCTCTAAAATATTCTGAAAGAGATAGTTCACATTAATTCACCTGGAAAAGAAGTCAATAACAAAATCAGAGTTAAATAAAGATGTAAATATATATTTTTCCTTGAAAGGTATTTACAAAAAGGCTCCTATTCGCTTACCTTTTCCATTAAATTAGAGGATAAAGAGGTTACTAGTGACAAATTATACAGAGGTCTCAATATTTTCTCCTTGCTTCTTTAGTGTTTCATCTTTTCTCAAGCAGCGTGCTACATCAAGAAGTAATAATTGTTAACATAATTCATAAATTGACATTTTAGCTTCATATAATGTACATCATAAAATAAATCATTAATTTCTTATCGCATAAAATTCTAATTCTAAATTTTTCGCTATTTTCTTTTTCTGAAACAAGAAATTACAGCATTACAAATTAATTAATATTTATATAATTTTTGTATTACATTAAACGTACATTACTCTTAAGGTGATGCCGGACCGTCCTGTTTTACCGGTCATAATAATTACACTTTGTAGACCGAAATTTTTTTATTGGTTACATGAAATAAGAAATCCTTTTCTACGATTAAAGTATATACATCAACAAAGTGGGAACCTTTTACGTTAAAAACAAAGAAAAGCTAAAAAATTACAGTTTTTTTACCGGCTTCTTGCGTCAGGTCGTAACAATATTTGCTTAATATAATTATTATGGTCGGTAAAACAGAACGGTCCGGCATCCTCTTAAAGAATCTAAATCTGCATACATATATTTTGGATCTTACCTACATCTGATAACACAACAGAAATACATATTTTCAGTATTATCATATGTTTTACTTCCATTTTTGTCTAGAACAAAAAATTATGAATTTTATAAATTTAAGAAAGTAATTTTATAAATTTATACTCATAGTATGCATATAATAAATTATACACGTAACATTTCTACATATTTTAAGTTGATATATTTACATTTTTAATTTGTATTTTTATAATTAATACTTATTTAATTGTATGTTATACCCTAATATAAACAAAGGTTTTTTAATATAGATATATCCTAATATAAACAAAGGTTTTTTAATATAGAAATGTAACTATAGGGCTGCGTTCCGTTTCACGCATTGAGCGCATAGATCGCCTGGAAATCTATAATATATGTTACGTGAACTATAGATTTCCATGCAATCTATGCGCTCAATGCGTGAAACGGAACGCAGCCTAGGTCTGCTCGTTTTGTTGCATGTTTTTTTACACGTTTTACTAGGACTGCGTTCTATTAAACGATCGCAATACTTGCGAGCATTTTCTGTCTTCGTTTCACTTTCGGTGAAAAACAAGGATAAAATGATTCCACCAGCGTTGCAATCGGCAAGTGGAACGTAGCTTAATGGTTGTCTTTTCTTTTCTTTCCAATGCCTGAATATTTGGGGCGTTCCACTTAACGACCGCAACGCTTGCGAGCATCATCTGTCTTTGTTTAACTTTTGGTGAACAACAAGGATGAGATAATACTGTGAGCGTTGCGGACGTTAAGTGGAACGCGCCTATATACGTTCTTCTTATTTTAATTATGAAAAATGTGTAAAATGCAAGTAAAATGAACAGACTTTATGAGAATTGAATACAATATTTGAAAATGTGAAAGAAAATTGTTTTTACTTACCTTTCATGATATTATGCAAATTTATTTTGGTGATTTCTCTTTCCAAAGTATATTTAAATACTCAACATTTGCTGTAATATAGAAAAAAACATATATAATAACAAGTATACAATAATATATAATGTTTTCAATATAAATTATAATATAAATCTAATAAGATCTAGTCAGGCGCATTTTCAATATTAATGTAAAAATGTATAGTACAGTGCTCGGATTTAGTTGCACATTTCGGCCCGATACCATGGCTCACGCCTATTGCCCCCCACTCATCGCTCATACGTTAACGACGAGTCGCCAGATACGCGTAACTAAGGAGAGCGACGCTTTGTCTCAGGAGTGTCCGTATATAAGAATGTCCAAATATAATAGTAAGACAATACTTTTCTAAATGCACCGCGAAAATTCTCAAAATTAAAAGTTTTTCTTCAATATTTTATTTTTACACATTTTTCATAATTAAAATAAGAAGAACGTATATAGGCGCGTTCCACTTAACGTCCGCAACGCTCACAGTATTATCTCATCCTTGTTGTTCACCAAAAGTTAAACAAAGACAGATGATGCTCGCAAGCGTTGCGGTCGTTAAGTGGAACGCCCCAAATATTCAGGCATTGGAAAGAAAAGAAAAGACAACCATTAAGCTACGTTCCACTTGCCGATTGCAACGCTGGTGGAATCATTTTATCCTTGTTTTTCACCGAAAGTGAAACGAAGACAGAAAATGCTCGCAAGTATTGCGATCGTTTAATAGAACGCAGTCCTAGTAAAACGTGTAAAAAAACATGCAACAAAACGAGCAGACCTAGGCTGCGTTCCGTTTCACGCATTGAGCGCATAGATCGCATGGAAATCTATAGTTCACGTAACATATATTATAGATTTCCAGGCGATCTATGCGCTCAATGCGTGAAACGGAACGCAGCCTAGGTCTGCTCGTTTTGTTGCATGTTTTTTTACACGTTTTACTAGGACTGCGTTCTATTAAACGATCGCAATACTTGCGAGCATTTTCTGTCTTCGTTTCACTTTCGGTGAAAAACAAGGATAAAATGATTCCACCAGCGTTGCAATCGGCAAGTGGAACGTAGCTTAATGGTTGTCTTTTCTTTTCTTTCCAATGCCTGAATATTTGGGGCGTTCCACTTAACGACCGCAACGCTTGCGAGCATCATCTGTCTTTGTTTAACTTTTGGTGAACAACAAGGATGAGATAATACTGTGAGCGTTGCGGACGTTAAGTGGAACGCGCCTATATACGTTCTTCTTATTTTAATTATGAAAAATGTGTAAAATGCAAGTAAAATGAACAGACTTTATGAGAATTGAATACAATATTTGAAAATGTGAAAGAAAATTGTTTTTACTTACCTTTCATGATATTATGCAAATTTATTTTGGTGATTTCTCTTTCCAAAGTATATTTAAATACTCAACATTTGCTGTAATATAGAAAAAAAACATATATAATAATAAATATACAATAATATATGTTTTCAATATAAATTATAATATAAATCTAATAAGATCTAGTCAAGCGCATTTTCAATATTAACGTAAAAATGTATAGTAATATTATCCAATATTTTTCCGAAGAGTTTTACAAAAAAATGACTAACGATGCCGCACTACAATTTGTACTGGATGATATTATCATATCAAGTATCATATCATCAAGCCCACAATATGCGCCATCACAAATTTTTTGCGCCGTTATGCGAATAAGAAGTGATTGTTGAGAACAAAGCTTTCGTCTCTTGTCTTTTGTTTTAACCTTTCATTTTTTGGCAGTGTTAATTGTTACGCGTGATTGCTTGTGGAAAACATGTACGCATTAATTAAATTTTCCGATGAAACATATTATGTTTGTAAAATCTCGAGACTTGCTTTATTTTCACGTACTTTATGTGCTAAGAAAGAAAAATGTACGGGAATACATCATCAAATACAAATTATAGTGCGGCATCGTAAGTCATTTTTTTGTAAAACTTTTTGGAAAAATTTTAGATAATATTACTATACATTTTTACATTAATATTGAAAATGCGCCTGACTAGGTCTTATTAGATTTGTATTATAATTTATATGCAAAACATTTTATATCATTGTATATTTGTTATTATATGTGTTTTTTTGTATTACAGCAAATGTTGAACATCTAAATACACTTAAGAAAAATTTGGAAAGAGGAATCCCAAAAATAAGTTTGCATGATATCACAAAAAGTAAGTAGAAAAAATTTTCCTTCACATTTTCAAATATTGTATTCAACTCTTATAAAGTCTTCATTTTACTTGCATTTTACACACTTTTCACACTTAAAATGAGAAAAACGTATATATTCAGGCATTGAAAGAAAAAAAGACAATAACTAATAAAACGTGTAAAAAAATATGCAACAAAACGAGCAAACCTATAGTAACATTTCTATATTAAAAGATCTTCGTTTATATTAGGGTATAACATATATTAAACACTATTATACTATTATGTATAAATTATAAAAATGCAGATTAAAAATGTAAATATATCAACTAAAAATATGTAAAAATGTTATGTGTATAATTTATAATATAAGCATACTATGAGTGTAAATTTATAAAATTATTTTTTTAAATTTATAATTTTTTGTTCTAGGCAAAGATAGAAATAAAACATATGACAATGTTGAAAATATTTCTGTTGTGTTATCAGATGTAGGTAAGATTCAAAATATGTATGCAGATCTAGAATCTTTAAAAGTATTGTACATTTAATGTAATACAAAAATTATATAAATATTGATTAATTTACAAAGTTGTTGTAATTTCTCGTTTCAGATAAAGAGAATAGCAAAAACCAGAATAATTCTAAGGATATTATTACTATTGTATCAAACATAGGTAAAATCAATGTATATATATGTATCTACAATTGGAATTTTTTAAAGTCATTATTATATTTAATATAAGCACATTTTGTTAATATTAATTAATATTACAAACTACAATAATTTCTCGTTTTAGATAAAAATAATGAAAATGATGATATTAAAAATAATAATAAAAAAGACGATACTAACATTGCGGCAGTTGTGTTATCAGACACAGGTAAGATTATCCCAAGTATGTTTGTAAAATCCATGTAAATATTACGAGAAGTGTACCTTCTCGATATTACATGCACAAACATTGAATATTTATTATTCCATTTTTAATCAGCTTATTCCTTCTATATGTCTCAATTTGCTTTTTTTTTACTGAATCAAACAAGTTGGTTACTTAGTAAACGAACGAGTAAACAAACTAAAGAAGCAAATTGAGTTGTAGAAATATGAAGAAGTAGTCTTGCTTGCTAGTCAGAAACTAGCATATGCGCAGTCAATATTTTTAATTGTAGGATATGAATAATTAAAATATTATTTCCTCACCTATCACATTTAAGAATTTTCTAATAATGATACACTTTTACAGCAAAAAAGATAGAGGAGAGCGAATCAAATGATGATTCTGAATATTATCCTTCAAATGAATCTTATT